AATCAAATTGTGCTGAACGCATGGAGAAGATATGTGAGTTTTGCTCAGCTAAACTTTATCCAGGCGAGGCAGCTGATAATACTGCATCCATCTGTTGCCACAAGAGCAAGGTGAGTTTACCACCAATTTCTGTCCGCAATGAGCTGAAAGTGCAATGATGACATCACAAAAAACTATTTGGAGAATATCCGTAAATTTAACAACGGTCTTGCGTTTGCTTCAGTTCAGGTGAACTTTGCCAATATTCCGGGTAGAGGACCATTTTGTTTTAAACTAGAGTAAGACGATTCTCTGATATTNAATATCCGTAAATTTAACAACGGTCTTGCGTTTGCTTCAGTTCAGGTGAACTTTGCCAATATTCCGGGTAGAGGACCATTTTGTTTTAAACTAGAGTAAGACGATTCTCAGATATTATTGTTTTTGTGAAAGAAACATTTAATCAAAAAGTTAATTCTGAATATGTTTTCTCCTCCAATTGTGTATACAAAGTAAGTGACACCATGTTTCCCTCAACTCATGACACTCATATATCAGTCAGTTTGTAATATGTTTTTATGTATGTACCTAATAAGTATAAGTTCTGATGTACTATAAATCTCATTAATGCTTTGTAATATATGTATAATAAAAATAAGGGGTTTATAAGAATAATTATTTCCGCGAACTATTAGAACAGTCTGCTTCTATCTGTGGCTACAAAGAGGGATGAGTTCACTGTGTATTTCTGTCTGCGCAGACTGCGCATGGGCCCGCTTGTTATTAATATTTTGCAATTCATATTTATTTATTAAGTTTAATTCAATACAATCAATACGAATATTTCATGTGCCGTTTTTCACTTGAATGTGACATTAATAATATCACGTATTCTACGTTTAAGTTTAGCGGCTGTGGCTCCGACACAGCCTCCAGGACAAGACGAAGGCGCTGGACTGATCCTTGTTTTTCATTTCAAAGACTGAGATTTTCCCCACAGTGTTATTACTCAGTTCTCATACAGTGTATATAATATGCGCGAATTAACAATGAAAATTCAAAGAATCCACCCTCTTTATGCGGTTTATTTTCAGGGTTTTACATTTCCTGGCGAAGCTGGTTATCCCATAGAATCTGTTGTGGCCAAGTACTACCTAATGGAGACGCAGTACACCAATTTAAAACCGGATTTTACTCAATTGCACAGTCGACAAATGGCAGACAATTCTGGCCTGAGGATATATTTCACCCACGTGCTCCGATCTAACGACGCTGGAGTCCTGTCAATCGGTAATGTTGATAAGTAATCAGTGTTGCCGCGAATCATTTTTAGTGGTAGCCAAATTCCTTTTAAAAAGAGCTAAAAAAATCCGTTGTAGCTAAAAATTGTAGCTAAAATTGTTTACTTACATATCGTAGTTTAAAGTATAAAACCGCGTATAGTCATTCTGAAAAACCGCGCAACTGGAATTTGCTGCCAAAAATTGGATTTACTCACACAAGCTCTTGGCTCAACCCCTATCCATCCGTCCTGAAATATACTAGCCAGAAATGTGATTGCTTTATAAAAAATTATAGTTTAAAAAACTAAAACCTCGCTATTATAATTTCCATTCGTACTGTCATCAGTAGTTACATCCCGAGCTAATAAAAGGGAGGTAATAAAAAGAAAACCATTTTGAAATACGAGTGTTTTTACTCTCTAGAAAATAATTTATGCAACCTCACATACGCGGTTTTGCATTATCATCATACGCGGTTTTGCATTTTGTTGATACGCGGTTTTGTATCTACTTTAAACGACGATATATGTATATATAAAAGGGAAAATACACGACACTAGCTTGCTGGCATCATCAAGTTATTGTACCATCAGGCTCGAAGCATATAGAATATTTATTTCTTTACAAATGAGGTCCGAAAAAGACCGAAATGATTAGAGCCGAAATTTCATAATATTTCCACAAACACGGCGCTGACTCATATAGTGCCAGAAATTTTGGGTAAAATAGTTAAAAACGAGCTCATTTCTCCATTCACGACACCAGCGTGCTGGTACAATAATAAAATTTTCAAATCGTTTTTGATGTCGTAACAGCAGCCGGTACAATCACACCACAAGAACATACATGGTCAATCGGCTGGCACCAACACTTGATGGTGCCAGCATGCTAGATGCATATTAAGGGACGCGAACTTATCTATTTTAAAGTATAGTTAAATCGTTAATAGATAAGTTAATGGCCCTAACACTTTTATAGTTTGTATAAAAATGTAAGGAACATACAATACATATATACATATATAGTTATGCAGATATGTATGCATGTATTCAAGTCTAACGCAATTGATTGAATGTTAATTTGTTGAAGTTGAGTTTTGTTTTGTGCAGAATTTGCATGAAGCGAAACAGATATTTCTTTGCTGTTATTTTTCACGATCCAGAAAAAAAAGGTCGCGCCATTCGCGGACCGCTAACCCTCTCTTCGTCGATTTCACAGCATCCACCCAATCGCTGACGTCATAAAATACTGTTGTTGACATTCACTGTTGCCAACTTGATACTTTTCGCACCAAATTTAGTGGGTATTGAAAACGCAAAAATTTTTGAGTTTGGTGCTTGGTGCGTTTTTGGTGCTTTGTTTTTAGTTTGAAGACACCAAATTAGAAAGTCTTAAAAAAATGGAAGCAAAATTTATAGCAATCGTAGGTGTGGTAAGCCACTTTACAAAAATTTAAAAAAAGTCATGGCACAGTGACAATCATAAGCGACAACAAAGTATATGGCAGCATCTTCAATCTTGCCAGAAGAAATCGACCGTCGTCCGAGAAACATGGATTTTTATTAATTTGAATCGGCATCCTTACAATCAAATTATGTATGCATATAAAGTCCATAAAATACACCAATAAAAATTTGGTGCTTTTTCACATTCAAAACTTGGCAATACTGCCATTTGTTCGATGCTTCCTCTTTTTCTTGTCGAGTTCGTCTTGCTATCTCATTCTGGTATTTGTTGACGTCACGGCCAGTGGCTCCCAGCTCGATTGGTGAAATCTTGTATTCTTGGTTATTTATTCTGTATGCTACTTCAATTCGATTTTAAATAAGGTTTCGTCTGCGTAGCGGCAACTTTTTTTCACGAACTTCATCTTTATGAAATATAGGAAAAGGAGAAGATCAATGTATGTATGTATGCCACACCAAAAAGCTTACAGTGAGCATACTGTGGTGGGCATGTGCCGTTATCGCAGCAAGCAGCATTTTAAAGCAAAAAAAAACCCAAAAACAGTTGTCAAACGAAATATACGATGTACAGTAGAGTTGTAAAATTATCGATAGTTTCCATGTTTCAGAAAAAAACTATCATTACTCGTTGATAGTTTCCAGCAATACTATCGATAGTGTCAAACGCTACCATCGATAGTACTATCGATAGTCAATGTAATGTTAAAAACTGTTCCAAATTAACAGGGACGGCATCGAAAAACAAAAAAAAAACAAAATATTGAAAATATAAACACACGTAGGGCCGTTTTCTTAAGTAACTTTTAACTTTAAAATTCACTTTATGTTTAAATATTGCTTTAACATGTATAGTTCGGTCTAAGTAAAGCATTTTATTATCGAATTTTATTTCTTTATTTACATATCTATTACTGAAGCTTACAATTAAAAATAAAATTATGAGCCTAGTAAAGAAAGCTTCTTCTTATGATCTACAAAACATGGCAACAAAAATGGGAAAAAAATTGTTGCGGCTAATGTTACAGCTGTTTTTGATTGACTTGTCAGTGCAGATTACGAATCCATGAGCATAAGATTTCCATCAGCTCCAGATTTAGTGAAAAACGAGGTCAAAAAATTGTTTTTTTTTTGGCAATATTTAGAAGCTCTAGCAAAGAAACAAAAGGCGGCGTTTGGCTTAAATTAAAGCTAGAAGTCTCTACTGCTATCCCTGAAAATACCATCCCTACACCTTGACCTGATGGTCACATATAGTCATTTATTGAACAGCAAAACCTGATTTTGTGCGAAGTTTGAGTACCCACCGCAATTAAAGGTTCTATCACCTTTTGTTTTTTTGTGCTAGACTTTCTAAAATATTGCAAAAAACGCGATTTTTTGACACTTTGACCTTGTTTTTCTCAAAATCTGGAGCTGATGGAAACCTTATGCTTACGGACTCGTAATCAGCATAAAAAAGTCTATCAAAAACAACTTTATCATTTGACGCAACAAAATCACTGTTGCCTTGTTTAATTGTTGCTTATTATAAATTTCCAAATATGATATATTTTGTTTAAATTTCGTAATATAATTTTTTGATTTGTTTACAGCCAAAAAACATACAACAAACACCGATAATAGAAATGCTTTACTTCAGACATAGCCTTATGGTTTGAAGCAACGTTTAAATATAAAGGTTGCTTGAGAAAACGGCCTTTAAAGCAGGCCGACGCGCAGCTAAATGGAGACATTATAAATAAAATCGGCTGTGCTAGAGGTTTTAAACTATCGATAGTCAACTATTACTATCGATAGTTTAACCTTTTTAGAGAAAAACTATCACTTCATCGATAGGGGCAAAAAAATTAAACTATCGATACCATCGATAGTACCGTTGATAGTTTGACACCTCTAATGTACAGTGCTTGTTTGTTTTGAACGAAGCGCTGCTTGTACATATATAATTTTCACTTTGGGCGCAGCGCTGCTTGTACATAAATTTCGCTTTGCGCATGCCTGAAGCTGGCAAAGGTTCTTTTTTTATTTTGCGCTGTGCTAGCTGCAGTGTTGCCAACTTTTGATTTTCAAAAAGCACCAAAAACTTGGAAAAAACGCGTTTTACCACACTAAAAGCACTATTTTTTTTAATCAAGGGATGCTTTTTTCATAACATAATACCGAAGTACTGCACATTAAAACTGGTATATCTCGAGAAAGAAATATCGAATCGCAACAAACGAAAATGATGCCCTAATTAGAATTGAGCAAATAATTTGATGTTTTCATTATATAACCTCAACTATCGCTAAAAACCGTGGTTTTGGCACTTTGAGGTTAGGATATCTCTAAATTCTAGTGCTAGAGCAATTGTGGGCTAGATTTGGATTCAGCACCAAGGAACGATGTGTTTTACTCAGGTGGTAAAAAAAACGAAATTTGTACAAATAATTATAAAAGAAAAAAATAAATACTTAACTTACTTGCGTACTACCATTTTCAACGCGAATAGAATTTAACAAGGTGGGTTTGCAACTTCAGCATGATTGTATTTTAGTCCATTTAAATTTGTTGATTCTTGTAAATTCTGTGCTGCCACAGCTTTAAATATTTCAAATTATTTCAGGTTTTAACTATCTCGAAGCAAAAGCATTAAATCTAGTGCTTAAAGCACCAAGTTGGCAACTATGGCTAGCTGAATATAAAAAGAGAAGAGAATAGAGAGAAATATATATGTGGTTTGTTGATGCTCTCTAAACATAAACGCGTGAAAGGCAAACGGTCTAGCAATGCGTGGTATTGTTGATAAACTTAATACTTTAATTAAACATACTTGTTATTAAAATTTCATTTCAAAAATACCACTGTGTCCTACTGCGGTAGAAAAAATTGTTATTTTAAAACTTGAATCAGAGAAATCGACCCAGTTCATCGGCTGGTATGCTCTCACGTTTTTTTAGGCTTTAATTTTATATAGTATATATATAGATAGATGAAGGGTTAGTTAATGGTCTCGCCTAATATGTAGTTAAAGAACTAGAATATAATTATTTGGATGCCGAAATACAACAATGTACATACATATAAAGGGTTAGTTAATGGACTTTAAACATGTGATTCACAAGGGACATGAATTTTACTCCCCCATATAAATTTACAGCCCAGCGAATCAACACTTCCCTATGTATTTAAACGCCGCCGATTCAAAATTATTGTAGCGTTTGCAATAACAATCAGGGTGTCCAGATTGTTTAAAAAAAAGCGTAACTTCTGAAAAAAAAATTGCCAAAAATCGCCGATTTATTTTTTTAATAAAGTTCATGAAATCGATTTAACAAATCTTTCAGCTTAAAAATGAGATCTTGTTATAATATAGTTTTTAGAACCAAAAACGAATATAATACCTTCAGAGGGTAATAATAAATAACACAAATCACTTATACAATAGAGATGTACAAACAATTTTCTTTAAAAATACGCATACTTTCTAAAAATATTTGTTTCAACACATTTTGCAATAGGACTGCACAATTACTAAATTTATTATAACTCATATTAATTG